CTCTCACTGTTCACCGTGAAGTCCCTGCTGTAATACTTCATCCAAAATACAGATGCACGGTTCTCCATATCTGGCACTAAGCTTCAGCGCCTGCATGCTGAACGCACGGCGCGCTCTCAGCATGGCACCACTGGAAAACCTGCCAGTTCAGTCCATGATCTCTTTGCAGCGGTCAGTTATGTCCTCACCAACTTACGGAAATATAAAAGTCACAGTAATAATCTCAGCAGCCAATTAAATCTTTTGCTACGGAGGCAGAAGGTGTTGTTGTTGATCACACACGTATAGGACTTTAAAGTAAGGTTTAAAGTATTATTACTCTGTGGTTGAAAATTCCTCTTCTGGAGACAGCGACACGGGTTTGACTTGTAATGTGGTCAATTACCAAGACTTTGTCACCAGTGAGATAGCATGACGCATAGATATATATGTTCCTTGGCCATAAATGTCCTAGGGGAATAAACTTTAAGTATCAAATCTGAATCATTCCATTGATTTTTGATAGACGAGGCTCTAAGATACATCAGCCACTCCCAGACTTGAAAAGCAAAACCCGAGAGCACAAATGAGCATCTTCATTCTAACTCAGCTGCAGTGCAGGAACAGCGAGCACAGAAAGAAGCATGCTGCAGGGGGATGTCTTCTGTTTGTTTGCTTTCATTAAAATCCTCGCTATTAGTTGTCCTAGTACACATGCCTCCAATGTGCACTTCCCTCCCCCGTCTGCTGTGAGATGGAAACCCAGATGACAAAGCTTCACAGACCACCGTCTAACAAGATACAGAGTCCACCTGCACACAGACCCAGGGCTCTGTAGTCGCTACATTACTGCAGTTCTTAAAATTAGATTAAGGAACGTGCACCGGCAAAGCATTCCCCGTTTCTTTCTATAGAAGCCTATACACAACTCAGTGGAGTGTCGATTCTCCACTTGTCACTGGGCATTTTCTTGTGCTTGTAGTCTTTTAGGTCCTAACAGAAAATACCATGCTTTAGAATAAGGAGAAAGGGATGGTGGAATATGAAACTCGCAAAATCCACCATTCCACTGAAACAATGAGAAGCCTGGCAAAAATGGTCAAAATCAACTCTTTCAAAAATGGTCCTGGAAATTTTTCAAAGGCTCAGACAATTTAGGGAGTGCTTGCTTAAGAAAAATGACTGGATCTCAGTATAAAAGTGAGCTTCGTGGCATTGCGATGCTACTCCTCACTCCCAGAAGTCTGGCCCTGGTAGCCACTTGAGAGGAGGAGAGGATTGGAGCACTTCACAATGCCTCCGCCTCATGAGATTTTCAATATTTGACATCGTTGGCAGCTCCTTGGAAAAGCCCCAGTCACAGGGCTTGTCTTTTGTGTGTTCCTGTGACTCAGCTCACAACTGCCTGGGGCTGCAATACCAATGAGGCAAAGGAGACACAGAAGAGCTTGATCCAAAATGGGAAAGAAAAATGTTCAGAATGAAATGCTTCTCAGGTGCGTTAAAAATCTCTAACATATTCCTGAGACCCTAAAAGACCACAGCCATATTCATGGTCCAGCGACACCGAAGAATGTCCTTATACTTCTCACCTGGCTGACTTTGAGTCTCTGCAGAAGGCTAAGGCAGAGTTGTAAACTGCTGGAGAGGGGAAGACGTGCCCTAAAACGTACAAGGGCACCCGTCATCAACGCCTGGAAGACTCATACATTTCAAGGTGCTTAGCAAATATGTGGCCAACCAATCACTAGCTGACCACTAAGGTAAGAAGGCAATGATCCCAAAGGCAATGCCCAGCAAGGGCACGGATTACGCAGAATGAGTCCGAGAACACCACTAAACACACGGCCGCAGCAGCAGCAGCAGCAGCAAGAACAAACCTCAGAGAGGTGGGGTCCTACTTCCAGAGCTGCTGCACTAAGTTAGTTAAAATGCACACTTTCCAACAACAGTAACAAAGCAGGGCATACAAAGAAACAAGAAAGTATCGCCTGTACACGGGAAATCAATAAGTCAGCAGAAACACCCCGTGAGTTATCAACATAGAAAAGGCTGTGGACAAAATTGAACACACTTTCATGATAAATACACCCATCAAGAAAGGAATCGAAGAGAAATAGCTGAACGTTTTATTATTTTTATTTATTCATTAAAAAATGATCTTATTGGGGGCTCTTACAGCTCTTATAATAATCCATACATCAATTGTACCAAGCACACTTATTGCTATCATTATTGTCTAAACATTTACTTTTTATTGAGCTCTTGGTATCAGCTCGTCTTTTTTCTCTCCCTCCCCTGCCCCACCCTCATGACCCCTCGATACAGTATAAATGACTATTATTTTCATATCTTACACTGACCGCTGTCTCTCTTCCCCCATGGTTTCTGTTGTTTTTCCCCAGCCCCCCCACCAGGAGGAAATAATTATGGCAACCTATGTACAAACATGCTTATACAACTGATGTATAGATTGTAGACAATGGGACATCCCTTCACAGAAGGGTCACAGGGAAGGAATGAGTCGACCAGGGTGCAGTATAGCACCAATGAAACACACTATTCCTCTGGTTCCTTGAGGCTTCCTCACGCCCCACTATCATGCCCCCAGTCCTGCCTTTCGCTGCAGACTAGACTGGAGCACATGCACAGGGACAGATACCAGGTAAGAGCTCTCAACACATAGAATCCAGAAACAGGAATGGGAGTAGCAATGCCAGGAGGGTAAGGAGAAAATGGGCAGAGTAGGGGAGAGAGAGGGAACAGATAGCAATGATCGACACACATCCACCACCATCCCTTTGTGACCCTTCTGTGAAGGGATGTCCCATTGTCTACATGGACTTGGGGTTGCTCTCTGCTCCAACTCCCCTTGTTCTCAACAATGTTCTTTGTTTTATTGTTTTGGGTCTTCTGATGCTTGTTACCTGATCCCGTCAACATCTCATGATCGCATAGGCTGGTGTGCTTCTTCCATGTGGGCTTGTTGCTTCTATGTTAGCTGGCCGCTTGTTTATCTTCAAACCTCTAAGACCCCAGATGCTGTATCTTTGATAACCTGGCACCATCCACTTTCTTCACTGCATTTACTTATGCACCTATTTTGTCTTCAGCGATTGTGCAGGGAAGG